AGTTGCTTCGCACAAGTTGCTTCGCGCAAGTGCTCTGCGCAGGTTGACCTGTAAGTTCTGAGCAAGTTGTTTGCGCAAGCGCGCTGTGCAAATTGCTCTGCAAAAGCGCGCTGTGCAGGTTGCTCTGCGCCAATGCTCTGCACAAGTTGCTATGCGCAAGTTGCTACGCGCAAGTTGCCATGCGCGAGTTGCTCTGCCAGTTGCTGTGTGCGAGAGCTCTGTGCAAGTTGCTGTGCACAAGTTGCTCTGCGCAAGTTTGCTCTATGCCAGCTGTGCCAGCTGCTCTGCGCGAGTTGCCCTGTGCAAGTTGCTGTGTGCGATTGCTCTGCGCAAGTTGCTGTGTAGCGCGCTGTGCAAGTGCATTGTACAAATTGCTCTGTGCAAGTTCGTGGGAAGTAGAAACAGTCCTCACAACAAGCAAACGAGCTTGCAAGAAAGCAGGCAAGCAAGCAAGCAAGCAAAGCAAAGCAACATACAGCAACGCAACGCAAAGCAAAGCAAGGCAAGGCAAGGCAAGGCAAGGCAAAGCAAAGCAAAGCAAAGCAAAGCAAAGCAAAGCAAAGCAAACACACAAACACACGAACACAAAAACCGACAAACCAACAAACCAACAAACCAACAAACCAACAAACCAACAAACCAACAAACCAACAAACCAACAAACCATTGCATGGCCTATCTCCGACAGGCTCTGGGCTGCTGCTCTGCAGCCTTGCTGCTGAGCGGCGTGGCAGCGCTGCGTGGCGTGGCAGCGCGGGGCAGCGCGGGGCAGCGCGTGGCAGCGGACGAAAAACACCAGAACGAGCAGCTGCGTCTTTGGCTCTGCGGCCTTGCTGCTCAGCAGCGCGTGGCAGCGTGGCAGCGCTGGGCGATTGCTCGGCGTCTATATAACATGAAGAGGCGTGGCTTGCCGTTGTTCGTGTTGCCGGGAGAGGCAAAAAAAGCTAGTACCCCGACGAGCACCAGCAGCCATGACGCCTACAGGTACCAGGATCGCCACGAAGAGCAAGTCCAACAACGCAACGCCCGCAAAGCCAAGACGCCAGTGCAGGTAGTCCAAGATCGCCATGCAAAGCCAAGACACCGGAACAAGTAGTCCAGAATGGGCCCAAAGAGCAAGTTCAATCGCAAAGGCTTTTCGGGTGTTTGTAGGACTGGCTGCCAACTGCTCCTCAGTGGGGGCGCCGTAATTCTTTGGAAGGCCTTCATTGATCAACGCTTGCTAAAGGCAAACCTTACTTTTCAGGCAAGCTGAGAACAGCAAAGCTTTTTGCGTCGGGGAACAACTAAGTGGATTGCGGCAGCTATTCAGCAGCTGGAGGCGCTTACATACCGGGGAGCTGTTGAATAGACAAGCAACCAACCTTGCAGTAAGCTTGCCTTTTCATGCTCTTTCTCAACTTGCTAACGAAGCTGGCACTCTGTGTTCCACAGCTGGTTAGTCAAGAAGAAACTGCAGCACAAAGCTTAAAAAGTGCAACAGCGGTGACGCCGTTCAGTCGACGTCCTCTTTGTCCTCCTCATCGGTACTGAGCTGACAGCAAAACAGCACTGATGAGCTAGATGCCCCAGCACATGCGCATGAGGACGGGAATAGTCAAGTAATTATTCAAGATTACTGAGTCAGCACAGAGACGTCAGAGCGCATGCTACGGCCGCGTCACCTGTCATTGCATGTCGACTAGGCGCCGCCCGCGCGTACTGCCAGGCCTACCGCAATACCGGCGCGAGCCAACACTCGGCCATGACTACCTTGACACGCAGCAGCGCATGAACCGCATCAAAGCAAGCAATTGCTCCCGGAAAGTTGAAAGCCTTTCTGAAACAAAAGCACGCGACAAGCCAAGAAAATGCTGCACCACATTTCGGTGAAAAGATAGCGCAAGGAGGCACCCACGCTCCCCTCACACCAGCACTGCCCCTTTTGGCACTCATCTCATAGATACCGGCTCCAGGAAATTCAGCTAACTGGGATCTACCTAACCACAGACACAACCACTGCGAACCCATGTTTAAAAACAGGATATGCGGCTTGTTTTCCTGTAGGGCCCGGACTGCTGTGCCTCGCACACAGAAACTGCCCAAGCGGTAAATGAGTGGGTGGGTGGGTGGGTGGGTGGGTGGGTGGGTGGGTGGGTGGGTGGGTGGGTGGGTGGGTGGGTGGCTGGGTGGGTGGGTGGGTGGGTGGGTGGGTGGGTGGGTGGGTGGGTGGGGTGGGTGGGTGGGTGGGTGGGTGGGTGGGTGGGTGGGTGGGTGGGTGTGCGGCTGTGCGTGGCACGACAGTGAAAGAAAAACGGTCACCAGCACGAGCAGCGTCTGCGGCTCTGCGGCCTTGCTGCCAAGCAGCGCGCAGCAGCGTGGCAGCGCAGCAGCGTTGCAGTGGGCCAAAAATCACCAACCTACATAGCCCATACAATGAATGAAACAAACAAACAAGCAAGCAAGCAAGCAAACAAACAAACAAACAAACAAAACAAACAGTCAGTGCACTGCTCGAATTTCAAAGCCGGCCTCCAGCAATCCGCCTGGTAGACCTGTACCGGGCTGTACCTCGAGTGCCGGATGGTTCTCCTTTCCGACAATTTGGCTTGCACAGATGGCATTGGGTCATTGGTGGTTCGGGGGCTCTTTCTGCAAATCCAAAAACAAAGCTACCCATGGGGCTTACTAGCAACCAAGAGACCTCAAACGGGAGAGAAGCGAGTGGACGGTGATAGACGAGAATGGGAAAGAGGGAGAGGAAGGACATGAATGGCTGAGGAAAGAGAGATGACACCCATTCCTTCCTCTCTATCTCTTTTCCCTTTACACCGCCTCGTTCCTCGTCTCTGAGATAATAACCAAGATAAAGAGAAATATCCTGAGAAACAGATAGAAAGTGATGAATGAAAAGATGATGAACACAGGAAATATTGAAAAGAAAGGACTGACCGCATTAACCATAAGATCCTGACCCGAGCCGGTCCTGAAGCAGGGCCGGACTCCTTGTGGCTGGGATCAGCAGGGTCAAAGGAGCCAGCTTTCGACTTGTCGGCCGCACCCAGCCGGGTGCACGAAGCGGTGCGGCTGGATTGGTCCTGACGTGGGACGTGGGACTCGTTGTTGGCAGCTTCAAACCAGAACAATCGTCGTGAGTGCGAACTGGAGTATGAGTAGGGGACACTGTGGTGGGCATGTAGCTGGGGACTCCTGCCCACCAAGCGCTTTGGTAATTGTTTCCTTGAAATTCACATGACGTGCACCGGCTAAGGGTGCACACTGCAACGTACTGCAGCTTTCACCTATGCTGAAAAGAATCCAGCACCTTCCGAGGGCTAAGGATTGGTACGTGAGAAGAATTGCAGGTTGAGCGAGTGATCGAGTTCCTCTTCAAGGGGAGTATAATATTTTTAGTATCACCTCACCTTCAAGAATTTCACTAGGAATCCACCAAAGAAACATCATCTTCTCGCGCCAAAAACAACTACTGTATATTGCACCAACCTCGAATAAGGAGGCACCTCACGCAATGGAAGGCCCATGCAAACTAGCGGAGGAGCTCACTATTATAATTTGTGCAGGGAACAGATGTGCAACTTACTCAACACATGCTCCAAGACTGCTGTTTATGGATACGTGGCTGCTGCAAAACAGAATCCACATGCCTCACGTGTGCATGGTCTATACTGATTTGCCAACCTGAACAAAGCACCCCGCGAGGAAAGGAACCTTCACCATTTGAGGTCAGCAGAATGATATCATTTGCCCCGGCTCTTTGAAGACCAAGATGAAGCTGACATTCGCCAAGGCCATTCTGGTAGCAGATTCCTACATGGGCTTGTCTCAAAATGGCGGACCAAATTGAGAGGCATCCAATTGATCTCCATGCCAAACAACACGGATAGTTGGGTACCCTCGAAAACAAACAAAATTCACATTCGCCCATAAATGCCCACAACAAACTGGCCACTTTGCATCATTCCTTGGTTGGGGCTTTTAGTCACCAGTGCCCGGAATCCCTCCGTCCTCTCCGCCCCGGCGACAGCATGGCGGCCCACGTAGCAGCTGCGGGTTCCAACAAGTCTTCTGTGCTTTGATTGTGATTGACCAACCTGAAGTTACGGAGCCCTACAACCAAAACCAAAGAGTCACAAACAGTGAGAGGGAATTCGATGGAAAGCCGAGATCCACAGACTGACCAACCCCAGGGCCCAAATTGAACTATGGCGAGAATCACTTGTAGCCCAAGGGGGTCTTTGAGGCTACTCAAAGATTTGGGGGTTCCTTTGAAGATGGACGCCAAAGGGATCGACTGCCTCTGGGCAGATATGACCAGCCTCGCCTTGAGTCCCTCGTACCGCAGCTTTGCGGTTTTAAGCTGCGAATATCGTACCATCGGCAATGGCTGGAACCGAAGCATGCTCGCAAAAGGGACGACATGGTCGTAGTTTTTCCCAACCCTGACTCCTGATTGGAATTCTTGCGGTCATGCCTTGGCTGATATCCCATGGCCGCTGCTGCCAACGAATTTTGCCTCATCCACACAGTCCACAGGGTGAAGCGAATCACTGAGAGCAACGAAACTCGGACTCTGAGTGGATGACACGGGTGAAGCACGAATCGAAGCTCAGATCGCGCAGGCTTGCGCCCCCTCTGCAAGGCTGGTGCCAGGGGGAAGTCTGTGCAGAACCACCGCACTTGCCAAGAGTTCTTGGTCACCAGCCAATTGAGCAAGGTGCACAAAGCTACTCCGCGTCTATGCCAATACTAATTTTGGCGCTGTTTCAGCGCACCTTCAGGTCGATGATCACATCGACCGGGTTTCCCCAGAGTGCTACAAGCGAGGTGTCAGACCGCATGCCACGGCAAAACCTTCCTGTTGCGTTGCTTCCCCACCACTGGCAACCCCAAGTGGGCAGCATGATGTGGCTTGCGATCCTTCCTTGCGCGGTCTGTCGGTCCGCAGCCCCACTTGGACTTGATGTGCGTTTTCTTGCCCCCAAAGGTGAAGTAACATTTGATCATTCGACTGCGATGACACGATGTGCAGTGTTGATGTGCTTTTCTTGATGTGCAATGACAACCATTCACCAACAACATTCGACCTGCGACCGTGAGATCCGGGCGAAATCCCTCCGCCCAGGCATACGCCGAAAACGCGCCACGCGCGGCCAGCACTCATTGGGCTGAGACCTGGTCAACGGTTCGCAGCCTGCTGACAGCTCCTTGGATGTTCTACCAAGAAATACGTTGCCAACATCGTTATAACCATGATTACACGTGTGAAAACTGGAATGTGTGCCCCTTCCTGACATCGCAATGGTAGTGCCAGGGTGGAAGACACAAGCTGACACTAAGACCTTCCACAACCACCCAATAAGGTATTATGTAGGGTACCATTTGAGAGCTGCTAGGGGTGGCTTTTCAGTTTCACATTGAACCTGCTAAGTGTTTGGACTGTGACTCGATTTTCTCACTTCAGCTTGAACAAACAACATGAAATTGGGGGGGGGGGTGAGGGGAGTTAAGCCTCGAGCTTCACCAAGAAAACAGTAAATCAGACCTTTTGTTGCCCACATTTGGAGGGGGGGGAGAAAGCGTTCGGGCCGGTGTTTGAACCCGGTGCTGGAAAACCGGGGACCTACCATGGGCCCGCTATCTTCCGACATTTGCACCCAAGCAAGGCAAGCCCTGAAGATATGTCCCAACATTCCTCACATTTCCCCAAACGCCTGCCTGAAAAGAGCTTGTCAAAAGGTGAACCCCGTGCAAGAAACATTCCCGACGTGCCAGCCTGCGTCCCAGGATAGTTCGTGGACGCCGAACCGTACCTGCCCGGATTCTCAGGGCCAACGCGGAGGGTCAAGACGCTGCTAGAAGCCAAACAAAGCACAAATTGCAAGCAAACCCACAACATCCCACAACAAACCAAGAAAAATAAACACCTTGTCGACCCACAAAAGTCCCTCAAGACAAAAGAACAGCATCAACCTAGCCGTTGAGTCCTTGTGACCTCGGGACCTTCCGCCCCAAATGCGACGCAACCGGTGCTAAAACAACTCGGCGCACGCGGTCGCGGGCGGCAAGGGCCTGGATCGCGGAGGAAGAAGCGCATCTTACCCTCCCTCCAACAATCATGGAAGCTAACCACCGGAGGGTTTTGGAAGACTCTTTTCCTTTTGGGGAACCCCAAGAGGTGCACCTCCATGATTGTTGGAAAGAGGGTACATAACTCGGCGAGCCTCCGGAAAAAAATGGTGTCCCTTTGGCTTATGGTGGGCTTTTCATGCTGGGATTCGCATGGAGGAAGACGTGTAGGAATTGTTTGGTGTCGTTGTTGTTTTTACCCCATCAGAAACCAAACAAAACCATGGGAACCATCTTAACATATGCGAACCCCCCGGAAAAAAAATGGTTTCCCATGGGTTTTTGTTGGGTTTCCCTTGAGTTTCCCTAAGGTGTCCCTTTGGTTTCCCTTTGGTTTCCCATGGCGGGCTTCTCATGGTGGGTTTCCCATGGGTTTCCCTTGGGTTGCCCTTTGGTGTGTCTTAAAATAGGAAAAAGTGTCTCTTGAAAATGGTGAGTGTCCCTTTGGTTTCCCTGTTCGCGGAGGAATAGGCGGCCTGAGTAGCTCCCAATACATCACCCTAATCCAATTGACTGTCTGGAAAGCTTGAAAACCCTTATTTCAAAGAGTCCCACATTTCAAAACGCACCGAGCTGACCTATGAATATATTGCTGGAATAAATCCGAGGTCGATCTCACTTTGCCAGCATGACCTGGCTACATCATCTACTTGGGCATCTTAGCCCACTTTATGGCCCACACATCAAAAAATAAATTGCCACATCAAACAATCCCACACAGGGATCTCAATCCTACCAGTGGCTTACGCCTGAGTTGCTTTCTTTGGTGACTGCGCCTGGTCCTTTCGAACGGGTATCATTTGCCGGAAACCCCGTGGGCGATCCGCGGTCCTTCTGACTGCCGGCGACAATTGGAGTTATGTTTCCCACCAAGAAACGGCTTAAACCTTTCATCTCCACCTGAACACGGTCGAATTGTCTAATCAAAACATGTCCCCAAAAAGGGAGTTGTCACCCCGAGTTGGTAAGGCCTGGTTGTCACTCATGTACTCCGATAAGGCCTGAGAGACTAAGTGCAACCCATGTCTTCATCCACAAAGATCCAAATGAAGATGTGCAAAGGAGAGAGATAGAAATTGTTAAACTTAAGTGAACATAACAGCAACCATAATGATAATGATAGTAAGATAGAGAACTACAATGATCTGAAAAAAAGACATCGACCATAATTCACAAATAGATATCAATGGTGGGAGATAACATGAATTATATTCAGTAACAATAATGATGCACATGTAGAAAAATATATAAATGAACAAATACAACTTGCATGACATCTAATTATAATTCATTTGGTTTCTTTGTCAGTGTACATTGTGACTTTCGGACATAGGACAGGACTAACATGGAGAAACGCAGCGCATGCAGAATCTTCAAGATGGCGACGGCGGCGCGATAGATGCTTATAAGAAGAAAGTGCAACACAAATATGCTCAACACTTCTGATAAGCAAACTGGCGAACAATACATGAACGCCCATGACTTCGTGGCGTAAAAAAACCCGTTCGACCCCTAGAAGAAGAAAAAAAGCCGGCGGGTCCACGCGACGCCCGGCCGGAGCTCCGGCCCGTAGGTGGTGGGCGGCGCCGCGAAGCCCGGCATCGTGGGCTGCACCCCATAGCTGGGCACCTAGCCGTGCGCTCTGGAAAAAGTCGGGGCCGTTCTTGTTGTCCCCATGGGTCTTTGTTGGGTTTCCCTTGAGTTTCCCTAAGGTTTCCCTGCCATGGTGGGTTTCCCATGGTGGGTTTCCCATGGTGGGTTTCCCTTGGGTTTCCCTTGGGTTTCCCTTGGGTTGCCCTTGGGTTGCCCTTGGGTTGCCCTTGGGTTGCCCTTGGGTTGCCCTTTGCTGTATCTTAAAATAGGAAAAAGTGTCTCTTGAAGTGGTCCCCTTCAAAGCGGTACCTTCCCTTCCACATTGCCATGGCACCTGGCAGAATTTCCCTGAAAAGGAAACTAATCTTCCAGATACCCCTTTTACAGGTGCAATGCTTGTTGGAGGAAGGATACCCTGTCAGCGAACATGGGTGTGTGCACAGACCCCTGTAGAAGCACGACTTTCCCCTTGGAAAGGGCCTTTTTGCACTTCCATGTTAGTTGGTGGGAGGGTACAAAGCGGCAGGCCCCAAAAGGGTCCATATTTTCGACAACACGCCATCTGCACAGATTCGACTTGAAGAAAAGCCGGGTGTTCAAGAATGACTTCGCCCTTCACGTGGTGTCCTCGCAGGGCCTGAAAAAAGGCAGGCGATTGAATGGAAGGCCCAACTCACTGCAAACGGCACAAACAGGCGGAGTTATGCCCAGAGGTGTCAGACATCCACCTACAAATGTACCCAGCAAACATACATCACCTCATCCCATAATAACTGGCGCGCAAGAATCGCGTGCTTCAAACGATGCTGTAGCAAGGAACAGTGACATTCCTTTCTTACCCATAACGGCCCATACCCACTTCTGAAGCGGCCCAGTGGACGTACAAGCCAAGGCAGCACCTGCGAAATGGGGCAAATGGGACGTCTCGTTTGTCAAGTTCGGTATGGAGGCCAGCGATGCATTGGCAATGGTGAGTGCCAGTTCATCGCTTTTTGACCAGGCGAACTCATGACACCTCAAAGCCCTGTTGCATTAGACAGGCAAGGCTCTAGCATAGGTTTGCTTCCGGCTGAAACATGTCAAACCATGGGTCACTGTTCGCATGTGGGAAGTAATTATCTGGAAATAGATAACCTGTTTGATGGCTATCCAATAGTCATCCGATTTTTCTCAGGAGCTCTTGATCCCCCAGTTCCTGGCACTCCAACCTGCGAGGCCCCGAATCGGCCAAGGCCCGGCCCCGCAGCCGGGCCTGTGGCTGGGTCACGCCATTGGGCAGTGAGGTGGGTGGCACGTAGGAGCCTGCCAGTCTGTGCCAACTCTTCCGGGCAAGGAAGCTTTCCCCCCTGCTGGCCACGCCTGAGTCATCGAAACCTGGCAAAGGGGTCTACCCAACACCATGTAACAAATCCACACTTACTTTATGGTTCGGATTGACCCTGATCTGCCTAGATTTTGATTGTGGCACAAATGCCATGGTCAAAAGTCCGCAATAGAGTGAGAACATGGCAAGACTTGCATGCGCGGCTTCCTCTATCCTCCTAGACCCTACGCCTTCCTGAGCATAACCCATCGCATCTGACAAGGGTAACCAATCAAACAATGCTTGCCACTTTCATCATGGCCCCTCTGACATCTGGGCAGAATTTGCCTTTTCAGCCCTCCAAGAAGAAGGTGAAGTGCAGAACCGCTCGTTGAAGTGTCGCTTTCTCGATGAAAGGCCCCTCAATGTTCATCCTCTTTTGGACCTCTGAGCCCAGTAAACTGATGGTTTGAGATCTGGAAAACGCTGTTGTAGGGACCGGGCTGCGAACATGTCTCGAGTTCACCTCATGGGTGGATGCACCATGCTCTTTGGTGCTTCACCTTTACGCTTGTATGAGCAGTCAAAGTTACTTCTTCCAACAAGAGCACATGGGGAGCGGGGCTCGTCCCCTAGTCTTTGTGGTAGTTTAGCGCTCGTTCCCCCATGTCCCTCCAAATGGACCATAGAATCCTTAAAACATGTGGAGCAAACCTTCTATCCGTGGTTCGATAGTAATATTTGACCGACCTGAGTCCCTTACATCGCATCAACTTATAGTTCCCAAGCAATTGAACAATTGACCTGAATCCTATCGTATCCTATAAACTTGTACCGTCTCTCCCACTAACATGGCACCTGACTGGGGGTCCCTCCAAGAGGAAACTTATCTTCCAGGTGCCTCCCCACAGGTGCCATGTTAGTGGGAGCGAGGGTAGATCTTAAGACTTTGACAAATGAACTTTACAACTCATATTGTCAGGAAGCGGTCGAAAGGCACCCGCTTCTGCCCTTTGCTCTTAGCTCCCGCCTGAGGAGGTATAGGTGGGCGGGGGCACGTAGGAGCCACCACCTGTCACCTGACGACAAACAGATCTCCAAAGTTTGTTTCCAACTATACCATTTGTTTCCCTGAGAAGTATATAAACTTCAAGTGAGTGAACCAAGGAAAACGGGCTTGTCTCAAAAAGACTGCCAAATGCACGCACACGTTCCCTATGACATCGCGTCAACGGCACTTGTGTGCGTGTGTGCCTTTTTAGCTTCCATGGAAAAAATAGAACCACCAAACGAAAAAGCCCTCAAGAAAGACTCGGCATCTGCCCAGACCCCCCGAATCACCCCGAGGTCAAATGGTTCTGGCCATAGCTCTGCAAGTCGGATGCCCTCCCACGAGCTGACATGGGTTTGTGCACAGACCCCTGTACAAAAAACGACCTTCCTCTTGGAAAGGGCCTTTTTGCACTTCCATGTTGGTGGGAGGGTAGGTGCTGCACATATAATCCACTGACCCAAGAAACTTCCGAAGTAAGAGGCCTTCATGGGTGAAGTTGCTCGGCTTATCCTTGGCGAGCTCGTAACTCGTGCTCGACGGACGATGGCTTTTCTGGATGTTTTGCACAGCACTGTGCACGCCACATCTCGTGTTGCACCACTTGTGTCTCACTGTCTCACTCCAAATGAGTTGAAGCCTGCCAGTTGGTTGGTTTCCTCTTAGGGCTTCCCCTGTAAAACCCATCCAGAAACGAATAGTCCTTTTTGAGACAAACCCATGTGAGTCAACATCAAAACCTGGTACAAAAATGGTGAACCCAGAACCATGTAAAGAATTAGCAAGGCGGCTGCAACTATTTCCGGCTGGGTCTTTCCCTTACTAACCTTCATCTACCCAGGTTTTGATTGTGGTTGGCGGTAGCGGCGCTGTCTATCCTCCAGGGCATTGCCTGGGAGTCACGGAGTGAACCCTAAAAGCGAAAGAAGGGCCACGAGGATGCAGACCTGCGAGGAAAGTTCAGCGACCCTTGCCTCGCAGGCCGCAGGCGTAATAAGTTCAGAATATTGTACTTTGCACGGGGGCATCCGGCGAAGCCTGCCGAGCCTTGTCCAGGGGACCGTGAATCCACACAGCGCGCATCGCGGCTCGGTAGGATCCCAATCAGCGCAATAACAATGGGAAAGCCCGGGGGCTCCAGCCAGGCGACTAGCCCACCCCGTCATAAGATGTTTCCTTCTACCTATACAAAACCGAAGTCTGCGCACGGAGGAGTTGCCGAGAGCGTCACGCAGTTGCTCAGCGTCCAACCCCGACAAGAACCCGAGAGGCACTTTCTCAAGGAGAAATTCTCTCAAGAGAACCTTGCAGGCAGCAACACGCTCCGGTACCGAAGTCAGAGCATCAAAGTCGATGCAGGGGCGGTCAGGGACCTGGTTCAAGCCAGGCAGAACAGGACCCGCTTTCTTGTCATTCAGACGTGACGGAACCACCAGAGAGGCAAAATACGGCGAATACCTCCAACAAGTGATAGACGTCCCAACTTGATCCATAGTAACGTACAGCTTGCGCAGCGGTTTACCCAACATAAGGTATTCCTCATTCAAGTTGACAAGAACTTTCAGTCCAATATTGATGCCGTCGTGCCGTGGAAGAAGCAGCCCCAAGGGCAGTCGGCAGCGGAGGCCAAGATTGACATAGCTCTAACATGTCCGGCTCGGTTTCAGCATCAATTGGGATCCCTTGCATTTTGAGAATACCCATACACAACATACGGATCTTCCACTGGGCCTCGCGTGCAGTCTTGATCTTACGCAGGAAGGGCGCTTTGTCCCCAGCAATAAAGATGAAGAGCAGCAAGGCCTCAATCCAAGTATGCCTCCTCGAGAGGGCTTCGGCTTTGCTTTTGTCAAAAATGCACCAGTCAAGCATACCACGAAGAAGGTGGAAGTCTTCAACACAGCCACCCCAATACCGTAAGTTGGCTTTGACCGCCATCAAGTCAGGGTTGATAGTCAAGAAGTGTCCCCCCTTAAATACAAAGTGGCTCTGGAAGGGGGAGCTGAGCAAATAGATATCTTCCGAATGAGCGTGCTGTCCATCAGCACGATCAGATTGAACTGGAGCGTGATCAAGCTGAGTATTGTAATCAATTGCACGGAGATCGCGGCGACGGGCTTCCCACTTACCAAGGAGGTCAACCGCCTGTTTTTGAATAGCACCCCATTTAGCCTGGAGCCTAGGGGGGAGGTCTTTGCAGAACACAAGAAGGTGTTGAGAGCAGGGGCTCCACTGAGACCAAGATTCCCAACCTTCTTCCCACTGACTGCGCAGGTCAGCCCAAAAGGGGCATTCCCAAAACAGGTGCGCCATGGTAGCGTCATGGTGTCTACATTCTCTGCACTCTGGAGTATCAGTGAACTTCTTGACAAATTGCGTGCGGAAGGAGTTAATCCCGTTGATCAGCACTCGATTGAGCTTCTGTTGCACCGGGTGCCCTTCAGGTAATAAGTGAAGAAGTGCAGTGGTCGTGCCGAAATCGTGGTTGCTGACTCCCTTCCAAACAGAGGAGTTGCACTGTTCTAACTCAGAGGCAATCTTGTTACGGAAGGAATGACAAAGAGCTTTGCTCATCATTCTGCAATCGCCACTACCAAAGGTCCAGAGCAGCCTACCTTCATTGTTGCTAACTTGAAAGTTGTCAACGTTCAAATGAAGCTGCAAATACTCCATATCTTTCTTCAGCTGAGAAACAGGGCCAATCTTTTTGATAGAAGGTTGAACCTTCTCCCAAGTCTGAATCACAGCATCCTTGAAGGCGCGCTTTTTGAAGGCGTGATCGTTCCAGAAGAGCAAGTTTCTCCAAACAAAGGAAAACTCAGGGTTCATAAGCAAGTAGTTTTTCTGAAACAGAATTCTGGCCGAAAAGGTCCCAAGCTTACTCCCATGTGCCGCAGTACGAATAGCTGTGCGAAGCGGCCTGAGCTGCTCCTTGGACGGTCTCAGCGTAGTGCCAGCATATGTAAGCATAGGGATAATGACCGTATGGACAATCATGTTGGTTGTGGCCGCAGGTTGGTTGGCTCTTGCAAGTAGTTGTAGCGCGGTAATAGCTCTGTGTATTTTCTTCTCAAACCAAGTCTTAGAAGAAAAGAGCCCAATAGCAAGGGGAACCCCAAGATAATCGACTGATTTGACTTCCTTGACAACTTGCCCATCCCGCCAACAAAGCGGTGTGGACTTCACATCTCTGAGTTTGACACGTTTTGACTTGCGTGCGGAAATTGCGTTGCGTATCCCAAGCTTCGGTGCGTCCAAAAGCATGCTGGAGTTCTCTCGAGTCACTTTCCGTGAAAAGAAGCCTATCATCCACATACACATAATTGTACACAGCGCTGTTGAGATCTCTTGACCAAACCGCCAACACAAGGCTAGCAGCAGCCATACTGATAGGGTCACCCTGAGCAACCCGATCGTCCCAAGAACAGGTCGCCTGGCCACAATCCCGGAGGTGGAGACAAATCTCCTCATGTGCCTGATGGAGTGTATCCAAGTGCCAACTGCCGCCTGATGCATACCCCATTCGGTCAAAGCTTGACAAGCTAGCCAATGTGGGATACAATCGAAGAACTTGACAGTATCAATTGCCACACCATGGAATGAGACGTGCGTCTCATTTTGGCATTTCTCAGCCGACAAAGAGGCGTGCAGCCATGCTTGATACCCACTGCGTCGAGGTACACCCCCAATGATGTTCTCAGGGAGGTTGTCGAAGGAGATTTCTCCGCATTTCAATAGCCACTTGTGGAAGATGCGTAGTGCCGTAACTTCAATAGTGATGGGCCTCATGGCTTCAAGATCAAAACCAGCGTCACCTTTTGGGATAACCACAAGTTTAGCATTAAGCCAATGCTTGGGAGCCCTTCCACAAATAACGCAAAGCATAAATAGACTGTGGAGAAAATCCACGCCTTTCTGCGGCAACTTTTTGAAGTGCGCATAAGTCCATCCACCTAGCCCCGGCGAGGAAACGCCTTTCCCGTTCCTGAGGATCCGATTAAGGAGTTTGACATTCCACATATCTGCAGGGACTTCGTGGTTGGTGTTGCCCACATCCCAAGACATTTGATCATCGTGTTGGTAGACCGTAGCAAAGAAGTCCCGAATGACGTCCACTGTCTCTTGAGGAGTCTTGGTCTAAAAGGAGGGGGTTTGCGGGTCGGGGCCCTGACCCATTTGCCAACGTCTCCAATCCACTTGCTCTTCTGCGATTTGTCACAAGGCCGCTGCATTCTCTGCTTCCAAGCTTGTAGTTTATCAAGTGAGGGTTGACCTAGCTCAAGTAGAGCTTCCCGAATCTCTTCATGCTCCTGTGCCTCACTGGATTGTGCAATGAGCTTCCTGTGAAATATCGCCTGCTGTTGGTTTTCCCAATGCATTTTGACTCCCAAACCAGGCACTCTCTTGAAGTCAGTGTGACCGTTCCAGAAACGAAACATAGTGGAGGCGAAGATGGACCAACACATATCCACATCAAACCTTTCATAAGCCGTGCACCATTCATCTTGCAACTCATCCCACACTTCAACGTGATTGCCACACTGCTTGTCAATGTGATATCCTTCCACCTGCAAATGTTGATGCACCTCAGCATTCCAATTGAGCTTGGTCGAAATGATGGCATGCCCATTGTCGTAGGGGAAGAACGTGATTGGAGCACAGAACTCCATTCGAACATCTTTATGACAGAGAATGTCATCAATCTTTGTTTTGGATTGAGCTCTCTGAAACGTAAAAGCATCGGGACCAAGCATGTCCGTCAATTTGGAATACAAGTCCACGAAGAGGATGTCCATGTCCGACCCCCACTGCAAGGGACTGTTGAAGTCTCCAGCAATGGAGTGAGGTTGGACCTCTTGTGCATCTGCCGCAAGATGTTCTTCTGCGGGTCATCAGGGGCAAACATTCCAAAACGTCCTCCAAGTGGTACCGTCGAAGAAGTTGACCGCCAAGAATCGTCCCTGCTCGTGCCAGTACTCCATCCTCGTAGGTGACGGGCCCACATGGGCCGGAATCTCCTTCTTGATG